AAAAAATTCTGTATCTGAATTGTAATAAACTATTGAAACGATGCACTTCCACATCCTAACCACAAACACACATATGTGGACAGTACATCGTGCACGATACACTAGCATTGTCAGTCGCACAGATAAATTATTATTGTAAATGTTACAAACTAACTCATCGTGCCCCGTTGCCGTTGCTCGTGCAAATAACACTTGGGCATGTGCATGAACTTAGGCAACGAACACGGAAAAGTATCCTGAAAATCCTGACTAGAAAAACTGGTTATTAATAATTAACTAAACGGTATCTATTCTCAATTAAAATGACTCGACTCGTTATATGTAATATATCAACAACAGAGTACGTTAATATTGAAAGATATTATTATACAAGAAAAATTTGTGATTGAAATTTAATTGTTTAAAATGTAAGACTTTAATCAAGATTTCATGATAAAATAATTTACTTTGCAAATTGAAATAAATTCATTAAATTATTATTCAAAATATTCAATTAAACTTGGTCGATTCTGTCGTCAAAGTAAATTTTTTAAAAAATAAAATTAACATGCATGTTCCTTTGAGTTGAAAATCGACCAGTCGCGAAACGCCTTCTTGCACATAAAATACATCATATGATGGATTAATTATTAAAACGAATATTTAATAATTATATTAATAATGTAAGATATTTTACTGAATCTATATTCTACTCAATTATATAATTCATATAAAGATAATAAACATATTTCATATATTTGATCAAAATTGTGTAATAATCATATTGTGTAATATTTATTGATAACATTAAAAAACGCGAGTGCAAGAAGACCCTAGCCTGCACTAAAAAAATATAACTCATGGGTATTTTTCATACCCGCGGTCACTTAACTCGTAAAAACTACTAAGTATACAACTGGTTACCCGTGTTGATTCGGATCTTTCATCCTACAACATGGTTGGGAACCAGAGGAACACAAATAGCATGCGACTCACAAATGATGAACTTGTACCTCTGGGATGACTGCATAATGATGCTGCTGCTGCCCAGTGGAAGTCATCAGAGCCCCCTGCATGGTCCTGCTATAAAGAATAAGAAAGCAATTATAATCTATTGTTAAAACTATAGAGATTTTTAATTAAAAATTTCAAAGTATAAATTTATACTTACGTTGTTCGCTCGTGGTCCACCGCCCGATACCCCCCCGGGTACTGCTGCTGGATACCAAGATCAGGTTCAGAGACTGTAAGAAAACTGTAAGAAAACAGTTAGAATCTATTGTTAAAACTACAGAGATTTTTAATTAAAAATGTCAAAGTATAAATTTATACTTACATTGTTTGCTCGTGGAGCATCGCCCAATAGTCCTCTTCAGTGATGCACTGACTCTAATTCCGATAACGAGGAGTTTAAATTTCAAATTGAAAAAATAATTAATTTTATTAGAAAGTATTAAATTACATTACCGCGACCGAAGATTGAAATCGGCGAACAAATGATTCTATTTTCGCGATTCAGAAAACAAGGAGAGCCACGATGCTCTGGAAATAATTTTAAAACTGCGTAAGAAACACTGATTCTATTATCGCGTAACCTAACACGAAAACGACTCAGGGTCACTTGCCCCGAAAAACAAACTGTTGCTACGCACAAACACCGAAGCTACCGGCCGCATTGCTCGCGGCCAACAAATTTCCTGGAAAAAAGAAACTGAAAAGAAAGGGACAGGAGACAAGAAATACAACGAGCACATCTGTGCTTTTCCTACTTGTTTTCTTTTTTCTTTCAATGTTCGTCAACAGAAATGCTGCTTCACTTAGTACTGCTATATAATTTGTTACGACTAACCGTAAAAGGTTACTGCCACGAAGGCGAAATATTCTCAAACGAAGTGATTTACAACGATAAAATATTATACACAAAAATAATTACTTTACAGTAATTATTCAATTTATAAACATTATATCACTAACTTTCACAGTTAGAGTTGTAGGAATGATTATATTTAATTTATCGAATGTTTGAATATATCGTAATTTTTATAAGTATTGCGAAATTTGCAAAAATTAAAGTTCGTTAGTTATTTATGCTTTAATAGCATATTCCAACTACGTAGTTTCTACGTTTTCTTAAACTTGCATCGAAAATGTATGCCAATTACAATTACAACAATTCATAAAGACAGATTTATAAACAATCAATTTAATAAATAGTACTCGCGGCCAGAATACAGTTAAATATAAATCATTCCAATTTAACCTTAATGTCTACCGTTAGCCATTCCTAAGTATTACACTATCGAAAGTGCTTTGATATATCTATATCGAAAAAGATACAAAGTTCATTAATCATTTTCATGATTCATCTTAACACGGACAAATTATAAAATTATGTATCAACAAATAACTTGATAAATAGATAAAAATATATAAAAATTAATATGTATGTTAATTTCGTTATAATAGGTTAAACGTTACCAATATTCCCTTCGAAAGTCGATTTGTCTGCCACCTACCATGGCGTCGTTTACGCGCCATTATAATAGGTTAAACGTTACGAATATTCCCTCCGAAAATCGAGTTATCTGCCATCTATCATGGTGTCGTTTACGCGCCAATATTCCATGGCGTCGTGTTCCCATCAGAGATTGCCACAGAAATAAACTACAAATTAAAGTCAAATGCATTGTAGAAAACATATCTAATCGTAATTAAACAATAATTGATGTGCAAGATACGCAATTTCGTTTAGGTAGATATAATGAATCGACGCCGGTTAGATATCGAAGAAGACGCGCGAAACCCGATTCAGTTTTTGCCACAATTCCGATTCAATTTGTAGTAAAAACGTATTAATATTACACGAAAGCACCGTTAGAGACTAAACCCATGTAGTAATAATGATGAAATATCAACAGGTTAGAAATACGTACCTTCTTGATAGCGAAACACCGACAGGTCTCGACACGTCTTATCGCGCCAATTTTTACAATAGTAATGGCGACCCCTCGTTCTACCCAGCAGCGCTCGCGAATTAAGTGGTGGGTGGCGGTACCCTCCGATCTTTCCCGAAGCTTCCATTTCGAAAAGAAATTCCTTGACTTCGAATTTCGGAGACTGTAACAGAAATAAAATGCAAATTAAAAGCAACTGTATTACAGTAAACATAATTAAAGAATAATTGAACTTGAAATAATATGTATAAGATATGTAATTTCGTTTAGAGGGATATAAAGAATCGACGCCGATTGGAAAACGTACAAAATGCGATTCAACTTTTCTCACGATTCTGATTCAATTTATGGTAGAAATGTATTAATTTTAAACGAAAGCATCGTTAGAAAATAAACGCGAGTAGTAATAATGAGGAAATAGCAGGTTAGAAATACACACTCCGATCGCGAAACGCCAATAGGTCCAGACGCGTTCGGACACGTCTTACCCCGTCAATGTTTACGATAGTAATGGCGACCCCGCGTGGTACCCAGCATCGCTCGCGAATGAGGTAGGAGGGAACGGGAAGTTCCGATGTCTCGCGAAGCTTGTATATCGAAAAGGAATAGGGACACCTCAGGTAGAAACCGCGGATACAAAAAGAAAGGACGAAGATACTGAGACTACGTACTAGAACAACGTAAATACCTTGAATGTAGAATCGCACTGATGGATGACAAGATTCTTGCATTCGTTCACATTATTCACTTCGATGATTACATGTAATTATGATTGACAAAGTTACATTTTTTACGCATAGAGTGCGTACGAGAGCCGACCAATGTTTCTATTCGATTATTGATCGAAGAATTTCTGTTCTTCTGACAAAACGAATAAATTTTATTCTTTTACTTTCTGGATACATAAAATAATAGTGAAGATCAGTTTAATTCAGAAACTGATCTAAAATTTATCCTTCTTCCGACAGAGTATTTAATAAGTATCAAAAAGTAATATAATTAAAATTTATTCGTTGTAACGATAATCGATTGTGAAGTTACAATATCGCGAATTTGTCGACACTTTCCATTCCGTAGCACTCACCGCATCTAAATAACAAGTTTTGGAATAAATATAACTTTTATAAACAATAGTTTAATGACTAATTAGGTGTTCTTTACACAACCGATTTAACAGGAGGTTGTGTTCTACCGAATCGAAATACTAATCACGTAAACAATGAGTAGTTTTACAGCGCACTCTGCATTTAAAGACAACGACTCCGTGAATCATATTTAACCCGTTCACTGACGTCGGTAACATCAGCAAATTGACTGATACAATATCGACAAAAGTTTGTATAAAAAATTATTTACAGTTAATCATTGTACGGTCGTATGGTTCTACAGTCAAGATACTTTTATATTGTTCAAATTAGTTATAAACCATATGATACATCGAGGTCTGTTTCTCAAAATTAAGATCTAGGAAAGCAAACGAATCAATTAATTGCTCATTATGTTGATAAAGGGGGGCCACTGCAATTAAATAATTCGAAGCTTTTTAACGAGTTATGATAAGTTTATAAATTAGCCAGCCTAGACACATTGTCGCTTCAGGTGTTTCACTTGATATAATGGACACGAATAAATATGACTGTATCGACAATGAACAACGAAACGTCCTTTAGTGTAACCACAGACGAGGTATACGAGTAAACCTTTCACCCAATGTATTTTTTCAGCCTATTTTTATGAAGTTCTAGAGCCCCATTACCATTTTCATGACAATCGCAACATTACCAACAGTTTAGAAATGAATTTCAATCCCTTCCCCATAGTCAACTCGTATGGATTTATGCACACACTACAGCTGTCAGCCCATCAATATTAATTCAGTGAATAGTTCGTCAACTGACCGCCACTCATGAGAAGAGGACGCTACAATCACCTCCGTATTTTCAGGCCGGTATGGCAGTCAGATTGGACCACGAAAGTCCATAAGGTGAAAGGTCTACTCGTATACATTATCTGTGACACTATTGCGAGACGCAATATGCAATGCGAGTAACAGTTGGTCGCTGATCTTCGCGGCAACAAGATGTTGAACGTGGAGGGTCTCGTTTGTTCATTTTTATACCGGGAACGTAAAAAGAAGGAAAAAAGTAGACGTTACTGTGTTCATCCAATAAACTGTGAACGATTAATAAAAAGAAAATTTCACTTATTACACGAGAAATTGTTAGATCACCCACGTAAGTTTTACGACTATTATCGGATGAGCCCAGCAGCGTTTACACATCTTTTGGCATTAATTGAGCCGTATAGTATAAGAATGGAAGACACAAAATTAAGACGTGCTATTTCTCCAGAAGAAAGATTGAGTGTTACGCTAAGGTGACTGAAATGCTACTTTTATTAACTGCTTTATTTTATATTCAAAGAGAAAGGTATGCATGGAAAAAATATACGTGAAATTTGCTAAATATACAATGACAAAATCATGATTGCCTTTCTATTATCGTTCATAAATAATATAAATAATATAATAATATAAATTAGCAATTCTTGCCAATAAATTATAAAATATTTCATTTATACTATTGTTTGAATCGTAATGAAAGAAGTTTTTATAGATTAAAATCGTATAGAAAATTCGGTACGATATTAAATTTATATTCTTATGCAATTAGTTTAAATGCCAGATGTGAATACGAGCGGAATTAAATTTTTGTTAAATCTCCGTTTTTTGCGAAATTTGTTATCCTGTAATGATATGCGAAAAATACCTTTCAGATACTTAGCCACGGGATTGAGTTTTTCGGCGCTGTCGTCCGAATATTTGATAGATTTATCAACAGTAATAAGTATTGTAAGAACAACTTGTGACCAAATTTGGAAAATATTACAACCACTGTATATGAAAGATAAATCTGAAGAAGATTGGATTGAAATAGCTAATCGATTTTATGAGAGGACAAAGTTTCCGAACGTAATTGGAGCGTTGGATGCAAAACATGTCCGAATAAAGAAACCCGAAAATTCCGATTCTTCGTTCTTCCGTTACAAAAGCTACTTTTCATGTATTCTGATGGCCTGGGCCGATGCGGATTACAATTTCGTTTACGTAGACGTCGGCGCCCATGAAAATAGCGATTCTGATATTTTCAAAACGTTCGATATGGGAAAACGGCTGGTAGAAAATTCATTGAATGTGCCAAGCGAGAGAAAATTACCGAATGACGATGAAGGGAAAGCTGTGCCCTTTTATCTATTAGGGGATAAAACAATTGGACTGTCGGATTCCATTTTACGACCGTACGAGGGAAAAAATTTATCGTACGCGAAAAAAATATATAATTATAGGCATTCGAGAGCCCATAAAGTGGTCGACTGCACATTTCGGATGTTGGTGAACAAATGGCGGATACTCCATCGTCCTTTGGATCATCATATGGATTTTTCTGTGGCTGTAATTCAAGCTTGTTGTCTTTTACATAATTATGTACGCAGCAAAGATGGGATTGATTTCACAGATACATTCCACGAATGTGGGTTAGATAAATATACACGAAACGTAGAATTACGAGGCAGAAGTCATGTGATTACTCGTGATTATTTGACAACATACTTTGTCTCGTCTCGTGGCCCCATTCCAGAGCAATACGATAATATTTAATTTATTCAGTCCGTGATACGGTACATACATATATGTATATACCAAGTATCGTATTTCGTACCGTGTAAGTTACATTTCTTTTAACATTCGTTGCACAATAAGATCTCTATATCTGTTCTACTATTTTTATCTACGTTATCGCAGACGGTATTAAAGAAACAGTAAATATGATACATAGGAAATATTTTTTAGAGATTAATTTAAATTAATATAGAAGAACTGTGATATAAGATATAGAATTAACATATATACATATCTACGTAGGATTTAAATGTGACTATCTATTTAAGGAAGTATGAGCAAATGTATTGTAAAGAAGAAAAAGAAATAGTTTAAGTTAATTTTGTGAACACTTAAAATGTCTATGGATCTGAAACAGAACTCATGTATTAATAAAGAATTGTTGTAGTCTAAATTAAGTATGTAGCAGACTGTTCATATTCCTTTGACCAAAGCCCTCTAACCTTTATCCTTTGAACAATTGTAAAAACTCTTGCTATTCTACAGTCAGTTCTAACAATTTATCCTCTATAGAGATGATTCATATCCTAGTGGGAAAAATGGATTTTAAAATATTTTGAAACAGAAAATTCCATTCAATTTCTGAACTATCTTATATATTATCTGTGGTTGCATTTAATTTCCTACATTATCAAACATTATAAGTAAATTTCCTTTCAATAGATGGCACTCTGATGCAAATTATTACGTTCTTGTTCGCCAGAGGGCTACGAGCAGAGCCATGTTTTGTAGAGTGGACCACATTATACTAACTCAAAAATAATAATGACAACCAAATTGTGAGGATGGAGACTTTTATACGAAATAAATTTATTTATTCAGGGCTTACTTATCACTTGAAATCATTACCGAATTTCTTGTAGCAAGCAATCTTCGTATATAGCTCTGAGAAAACACCATGTAAGTACAACCGTTGCAATACGTAATGTGTATATGGCGAATGTAAAAACACATACCACTTACCACTACATTTAACAGTAAGCCAACTTCAAGCCATCGAAGTTTCTATCAAAAAACTTTAATTGAAAACATATTATTTACACGGTTCAAAAAGCAGTATTTCAATAATGACAAAATTAAACAATCTTATTGGAAATTTTAATACATTGAAATGAGATAAGTAAATGAAAAATAATTTTTACGTTGAGCATTTATAAAAATTTATTTTAGTATTTGGGAAAAAGTAAGGCCCCTTGAAGACCGAAACCCGGAGCTACAATCACCATACTTGATTATCTTTATTTCAATATTTATGAGATAGAGAATTCCTTTACAACCTGAATTAGAATTTAATCGTTTTGAAACAAGTTGTCAACTTGTCACTTTTTACATTACAAAACGGGTTTACACAATTTTCAATGATGATATCTTTGAGGTAGCTGCTAGAAAAGGAAATAAAACGTATTACACTACATGTTCGGTTACCGCAATTCTATAAAGTCACGGAGTCGCAATACAAACGGAATATCCTTGGTAACATAAAAGGCTGTATAGTTTTTTTCTTTATGAAGCGCTTCCATCTTATGGTATGCCCGATAGCGTCGTAGATCAATGAGCACATCGTGATGTTACTCCTCTGGCATTTAGATGAAACTTCTCGGATCCTCACTGACTTCATCAAAAGGTTATGCATTCAAGGATTATAGTGATTAGAGGGAACGAAATGAATGAAATTGAGTATTCACGTTCGCGACGATGGTGGGCTGTCTTATACTACAAAATAGTAGAGCATCACGTGCTACAAATGCTTTCTCTAATTATCTATATTTCAAAATGTACAGGAATGGAACTAAAATTTGACGTTGACCATAAAAGCCGAATGTGGAAACTACGAAAAGAATGTAAGGAACAACATAATACAGTGAGAACTCGATTAACGTCCTCAAGAGCTGTTCCGTAAATGATACATTTTTATCCTCACCACTAGGGGGCTCCCCCTTAAACCAGTGAGGCGAAGTGTAACCGGAGACGTAGCGGCTTTCTTTAAATATCTTTATTGCCTTCGTCATCTTCGTTTAAATGCCCCTGTCAGTGTGACCACACTACTATCTATACAAGAAGAAAGTTTTTTATTTTTTCCTTTTTTTTAATAAAAATTTTACTATCGTTTGGGGGAGATTTTTCTGATTAAAATGAGACTAAACACGATATAAACCGGTCAATATTTGTTAGCATAATATTGAATTAAATATTGTACTTGAGAGTCTTTCTCTCTTTGTTTATCCATCTTGTGCTGTCCTTTTCTATCTTCGGAAACATCAAAGAACGACGGATCGAGGTGCTGGGTACATTTATCGAATATGCGGTAGCTATTTTCAAACGGAATGCTTCCACTGTTCCGTAAGTGATCAGAAACTGTAACACTTATGAGATAGGTTTGGGTTAGGTAATGTAATGTGTAGTGACATTTATCGAGTTTTCACTGTACTATCAATACTGGGATACTAACCTATAATCTTAGATTCGATAAGGTTTCAATAAATTTCTTGTACACAAGAAGTTTGAATTTTGATTCATTTTTCAGTGATGCTATTGGACAATTCGATCGAGCATTGACAATGTCCGCCTGAACTTCCACGATCGAACGATACGTTCTACTAGGTACAGGTGTCGTTACAGTTGAAAGTGTGGGTGATTCCCCGTTCGACAATTTACCGAGGCTAAAAGGTTACGTCGGAGGATGTCGTTCATGGCTCAGGCCACGGTCATGATAAAATCTGTTCACAGCATACTTTTTTCGCGTGCGATCTAAATTTCTAAACTATGCAACGGTACAGAAATTAGACATTATTCTAATTTCTCAAAATTCGGGTGAACAGAGACGATCCGTTCCATATTTTTCCCGAGATTCCATCTTCGAAAGCGTTTCCCATTGCGCAACCAGGCCGCTTCCTGGTCTTAAATTCGCGTCAGGAGGACACCGCGAAAAAAAAAGTCATCTCCCCTCCCGCATACAATAACGCATGCGTGTTACGCGATCGTGTACATACGTACGTTAGCGTAGCGGGTCGCATTACCAACAATTACGGGACCTGATGGCGCGCATACCTGGCGGCGTAATAAAATGAGTGTTGTCTACTGTGAGATTCCTGGCAGCCTCCCACGAGAGCTTTGCCTCGTAAAAATAACGGGGCCCCACGCTTATTCCAGGATATGCCCTCGACCAATTAGAACTTCCTTCGATCGACTCGTCTCTAGTGGGCTCTTCCTGGCTCGTCTCTGGCTCTCTCAAGGTTCCGATACGAAAGTTCGTTAAGATCATGTGCGTGACCGATAATCGCGAGGAAAAGCGCATGGACACGCGATTGCTGAACGCGGTAAATGATTTCGTAACGTGGAACGAAACGTGGATCCGGCGATAAAGTATCCTTAACCTCTTAGGCATGGCTGAATTTTGCGCGGGGCAATGCTGTTCTCTACGCGAGTACATTGGAATGACACTGGTGTTTCAAAAACAAAGACTGTATATTCTCTCTGTACATTGTTAACACCGTTATAAAACGTTGCGAAGGCAAACATAGTGTGAAACTAAACGTATGAAAACGATCACTGAATTCAAACGGTGAGCGAGTGAGCCACGAGAATGAGCCACTAGATTGAGCCACTATAGTGGCGCGTCGTTCAAAAAGATGACATCCGCGAAAGTTTTTTTTTAAATAAGGATAATCAAGTATGGCTTAAGGAGGAGGTTGTAGTTCCGGGCTACAGTCTTCAAGAGGCCTTATTTTTTCCAAATATTAAAATAAATTTTATAAATGCTCAACATAAAAATTATTTTTCATTTGCTTATTGTTGGAATCAAGGTAGATGGATCTTTCGTTGGCGATCAGATCGCCAGAAAATCTTGAAGACACGGAATCGAAAGGGTCCGATCGCCGACATCGAGTCTCATTTTCGTCGATCGGTTGTCCTTTGGGATTCCTCTTCAGCAACAACGCGCTTCGTTGACCTTTGCGTTTCCGACATTTCTCGAACGTCTTCGGCGTACTCGATCGCGCAAAAGTCCGTTTACACGGATCTCTCGCACCTCTGAGCGCGACGGAGGTTGCGTAAATGTGGGTTACGCGTTTCCAGGCCGTATTCGGGGCAAATTGTGCGGGAATCGACGAGAAAGAGCGAGGGCCCCCGTAACGTATGCGTAACTCTCGTGAGAGATTCTCGCAGAGGGCCCACGGACAGGTGCGACGAGTGAGAGGCTCTTCGCTAATTAGACGCGAGTCTACTGACTAACAATGCACCAGGAAAATAGAATTTATACCGGGTCGTACCAAGACCTGTAGCAACCTACAGCAAACCAAGCAGGTAACTTCTGAACGGAGGGAAATCATCCTCGAGGTAACGAATTCCGTTACGTACAAAGTAGCAGTGAGAACGATGAAAAAAAAAAACAATATTGAAAGAATACGAACGGGACGAACGGTTGTTGGACAAAACTTGAAGAAGTCACGTAGATACGCCGAGGGAACGAAACGGTTTCCAGATGATTAGTTTAAGAATGGTTCTGCGTGGCACGTGAATCTACATAAACATGTCCGTGAGATTCGCTGCGTGATGGATAATTAAAAAGCAGCCAAAGTTGCACCATTTCACTAGTAATGAATGCACGCTTCCTAAGCTTCGCCCCAATTACGCTAGGGACCTCCTCTTTCTAATGAAACTTGCCTCCGATCACGCAACATCAACGCGAACATCCCGCACTTTCATCAGTTTCACGGTATCAGTATTTAAACACAATCGTCCATCGAATTCCACTCTACACGCTACATACAAAAAAAAAATAATTGCGTTCGCTCTTCTCCCAGTAAAACTTATAACACTTTCGACTGGAAATAATCTTACTTTAATTAACGCGATTCGCTCGACGAGAAAAGGGAAAAGTGTTTGGTTGAACGAACGTTCAAGAGACAGTTTTCTTGTCTGCTTTTTTTTAAAGAAACTCGTACGTTCCCGTGAATCACAGAAATGTTCAAAGCGTCTTTTCGTTTTCTAAAAAAAGTCATTCTAAACTCATTCGTGGGAATCAGTCCAGCCTGTGAACGTTACTTATGTAAATCCGTCCGGCGGTTTCTTCATCCCGCGATAATTTCATTTATAGTGGAAGACAGAACGGACAGCAGATCAATCCTACGTTTCGAACGATCTAGCGCAAGACGTCTTCATTGATTGTTTCGTGAAGCAA